TGTTTTTCTCCAGGTCACTCAGCTTTACGTGAGTCACAAATATTTATGTAGCACAATATTAATTTCCGATGAAATGTCTTTTTGTTTATATTCATTTGTGCGAGACCTGCTGCTCGAGTGGAATGAAGCATCAACGACAACAGATGCCGGGGGGGGGGGGGGAGGGGGGTTTCTGGGTCGACGAAAGCTCTTGACTTGCGGGCGCCGGAATAGTGGTGGCGGTGGTGGTAGGGGTAGGACCGGCCATGGTGATTTCGGTAGGTTAGAGAAGAGAACCCTAGAAACTGATACCATATACACAACATTAGAATTTTGGAAATAATGGTCTTCCCCCTTGGATGCCTTAGCATCATATATTTATAATAAAATAGAGTTATGGAAATTATATAGTCATCCCTAGATAATACATTACTCTCTCCGTCCCTAAAAATACTTCCAACTTTCTTTTTTGGGCGTCCCAAAAAAACTTCCACTTTCCCTTTTTGGTAAAGAATTTGTGGTCCACAACAATTCTTACACATTTGTCTCTTCTCTGCACAACTCTCCACCACACAATATCAACTATCCTAATCCCTGTGCCTTTTGTACTATGGAAGTTCTTTTAGGGACGGATGTAGTATTAGTTTTGACCGATTTGTATCGTTTTCGATCGATTTTAGCTTGTTTTTGTCAGGTTTCATCAGTCGATTTTAATTTGGCTGGTTTTGTAACACTTGAGATTAATTTAAAGGGGTTAATAGTACTACTCATACCAACAAGATACATCTCCTTTTAAGGGAGCTCATCACCTAAGAACTCCAAGTTATGTGTGCACGCATGAGTGAGGACAAATTGCGCGTTAAAGACTTGTGGAGGTTTGTGAGTACAGTAGTAGAGGTCTGGAGGTGTTTATGAGTAACTACATATGGTCTGGTGGGCCCGGGGTGTTACAGGTTTTTTAACCCAAGAGTATAAATTGTAAACCAAATCACCGACGAATCGGTCCATTTCAGACGGTTTTGGTTATAGTCGCGCGATTTTGGTATTAGCCGGTTCGGTTTTGGTCGATTTGTAGAGCATTTTCGCCTTGTTTTATTCAGCCCTAGATTTAATAATATCATTGAGGATCATATGTACATAATACTTCGTTTTATATAGCTAATGGATGCCATTTATATATTTGGAAAGATGATAAATACGTTTCAATAAGATAATAACTAAGGATCAAAAGCACACTGGTAGCTCCCAAAACATTTTTTGCTACAATTGAGACATCAACTCACATTCATTAAGTATATACATGTTAACCATTTATCCATTTTACCCTCACTTTAGGTGAGAACGTGACACAATTTTCTTCCCCTTTGAAAATTGTAATATTACTATATTTATTAATATTATTGTTAATATTCTATTATTGTTAATATTAATACGTAGTATTATTATTTACCTTTTAGATTATGAGCCCATTAGGTAACTTCTACTTTCAGCTTATTAGTAAATTTTTAATCATACATATAACTTTTGTTTTTTCATGTTAAATTGTGTAAAAATAAAAATAAGAAACGTCTAAATTACTTTTCGAGCTGATGAGTTGATTGAAGTTTAGTATAGAGGATTATGATAACTATTTTTCATGTATAATTTGTTTATATTATCAAATAAAATATATTTTAAGTTTAATTTTTAATAATTGAACAAATTCAGTCAATTGAGTAAGAATTTGATTTAATTTAAACATATTCAACTAGTTTAAAACACCAACTTGTGCTATTAATCGAGCTCTAGATTTATTTAGATACAAAGCGAAAAAGCACAAACAGATGTTCAATTTTGGTGGACAATCAAAGATGTGGGTTCAGAAGCCCAATTAACACTGTTAGACAAGTTAGGTTAGGGCAGAGAAAAATGTTACTCCGTATTTTGTTTGCAAGAGTGCCAACAAACCCTTCCCCTCAACCCTCGCTGTCCCTCTTTGTATTTCTACTCTATCGGCAATTTAATTGTACATATATTTATCAACATCTACATGCACAATTCAAGTTATTATTTCTAAAATACTTTGTATTTATTTTTTAATTAAAAGAAAATGCATTACTAATGTACTATTGAAGCAAGGGTGGACGGCAGTGGACCTATGTTCAAGCAAAAGTTGTTCTTATACACACTTTTGCACACACGAGTACACATGTTGGGTGTGAATACTTAATAGCCTAATCACCTACACTAGTACACACTCGATGAACATATTTTTGTTGTGAACAACCTATTCACAAATAAAAAGTAAGATAACTTTCCATTTGTTGTCCCGTAACTTATTAATCCTGCAACTTTAGTCACTTGCAAATTTGGCTCTGTAACTAATTAGTCTTTTCAATTTGAGGACCCCCCAAAAGTACACTTTCCGGAGATATTATACTAGAAAAGATGGCATCACCGGCGTCGGATTTTTCTATCGAAAAGTGTACTTTCCGGTGAAAAAGTCCTTAAATTGCAAATATTTATTAGTTACAAGACTAAATTTGCAAGCGATTAAAGCTATAGGACTAAAATTGCAAATATCCCCACGTGTAATACCATGTTTAAAAAACGACTCGGACTGGCCGGGTCGACCTCGACTAAAAACCGGTTCGGGTCATTAAAAACCCGAAATGACCAAAACCCGGAAAACCCCGGTCCGGACCCAAATTGGAAAAACCTAGACAACCTGGAAAATCCTGGTTTCGATTTCTAAGCATTTTAAACCAAATAAATTGCAACTTTAATAGAAAAAAAAATAAGTGATATATTTATATATTTATTTAAGAATGAAATTTGTATCAAATTATAATATAATGCACAATACACATAACAAATCACATTATGTATTCTAATTCTAAAGCTTAATGAGACCAAACTCAGATTTGAAGCATTATACGGAGTAAGTGTTTTAAATTCTTACCTAGTATATTATCTAGGGGTGGGCAAAAATACCGAACCGGCATGGTACCGAACCGGACCGATATGGTACCGGACCAAATAATGGGTTTCAAAATGGTTCTCAAAATTTTTATCCTGGATTGGACCGTACCGGTTCCAAACCATGCCATGACCGGTTCTCGTAAAATGAGAACCGGTACCGGACCGAACCAGACGGAATTATGATTTATATAATTAATAATTTATAATTATTGTACATGTATACCATTTGATTACTCCTTCCAATTTACTTTTTGTACTACTATAGTTTAAGTGAGCATCAAATTGAAGATCTTTTGCCATACAGTAAGTATGAAGGCACTTTACTTGTTAAATACTACCTCTGTCGTCCCTTAAAGCTTTGCCAAAGTTGACCGGCACGGAGAATAATAAAGTAAAAATTGTGTGGTTGAGGTTTGTGCAGAGAAGAGAAAAATAACAGAAACCACAAAATAATTGAATAAAAGCGAAAGTGGCAAAGTTTTTTGGAACGTCCCAAAAAAGGAAAGATGACAAAGTTTAGGGGATGGAGGGAGTAGTTAATACCTTTAATTTATTTTATGGGTTATTTTTTAAAACTTTGTTGTGCCAGTATTTCCTAGAGACCCGATGTGTATGAGTGAGAAGCCAATGGTGTTTGAAGAGTTGTGGTTGTGAACGTTTTGTAATATATGTTTTGTATTACTATAGTTTATTTGAAATTTATTAATTATGTAATATCAAATTTGATAAATTGTGTTTGGTTTTTTTAATTATGACTAAACTTTAATTTGTCGAAAAAAATGGCATTGTTTGATATTGGTATGACATGGTGTCGTACTGTTTCAAATTGGAACCGTACCGAACGGGTTTAGGTCCAAGACCGAACCGAACCGTTTCAATAATTATGGTCCGGGTACGGGTTCGGTAAAATATTGGACCAGACCGGACCGGACCGCGTCCACCCCTAATATTATCATTAGTTCATTCATCGTCGCGGGTATAATTACTTTTTAATTTAGTTATATACAAGTATATAATTGTAGATTTAGAATCAAATACAAATAGTTCTTCTCATGGAAGTAGGAATAAATATGGAGCATCAAATTTAGGATCTAATGGCTATAAATATGTCCAAAATTGATTGAAGTGGATGAAAAATACTGTGACATTTTCGTAAATAAATCAAAGTTTTTCTTCTTTGCCAAAAGTGGACTTCTAGCGTGCAAAAGTGTACCGCAAAATATTAAAAGTGGATGGCGGAAAATTTTCCAATGTAATAGTGCAACTCGGAATCTCAAAAGTGGTGACATTAGTATTTTGTATCTTAAGACCTTTTTTTATATATTGGAATCGACCCCTATAATTATATGTTTATTATCATATAAACATTATCCGGTTCTCTAGCGTTGACCGAATTAACCCTCCCGGGTTTGGGTTAACCTGTGACCCGGTCATGTGGCTGGGTCGCTTCCCGGTCAGTTTTTTACAACATTAGTATAATAGTGTAAAAAAGTGTATATAAATAGTTTATTGGAAATTGCCCTGAATAGGAGTAAAAATGTTTTGAAATTTTAAAATAGGACTGCCATGTTTTTAATCCTTAAATAAGAGTAATTTTTGCTAAGTTTGACATTACCAGGTTTTAAACGTGGCAGTTTCTGCCAATTTATTAACAAACTTGACAAACGTTACTCTTATTTAAGCAATTAAAACATGAAGATTCTATTTTGGAATTCCAAAACATTTTTACTCCAGTTTAGAGAGTTTTTCCGTAGTTTATTCATGTCCTAGGTAGGAGTAAAAACATTTTGAAATTCCAAAATAGGATCTTTATGTTTTTATTCCCTAAATAGGAATAATTTCTGACAAATTTGGAAAAAACTTGAAAGAAACTGCCATGTTTAAAGTCTCATAATGCTAAGCTTGAAAGAAATTATTACTCATATTTAGGAAATAGAAAGATTAATTTCCTATTTTGGAATTTCAAAATTTTTTTACTCCCATTTAGGGACTCTTCCCCAAAAATATGGAGTAACTTTTTAAACCAAAACGGCGTCATTGTAGTCGTTTCGGGAAAAAGAAGGAAACCCTCCGTTTGTCCGGCTACACTTCACTCTCTTCAACCTTCACACCTTCACTTTTGAAAATTGAAATTTCACCCCTGCTTCTCTAGATCGCAACTTCCACGCTCTGCTAAACACTCCATTTTCAGATTCTGCGACGCTGCGCGAGGTCGCCTACTCACCCAGGCAGCCAGAAGCCAACTCGCACCTTGTCGTCGTTTCCGGCTCGCCGCCACTGAGCTACCGCTCATAGGCTCCTAGCTGACGAAAGAAATCAGGTAAAACGTAACCCCTGCTCAATTCTCGTCTGCGCAAGTCTGGCCTGCTGCTAAATTTCTCATCTTTGCAAGCCTGTAACCTAATTCTTTACCGATTTTTCCCTTATCAGTCAGTTATGTATGCACTGAATCCGGTCGTTATTGTAATTTGTGATCCACCACTGATGAAATCACACAAACAAACAAATTAGTAGGAATATAATGTAGGGGTAAATTATGGAAACAAAACAGTAAATGTTTCATTAAAAAATAAACAATGCATTCCAGAAATGAATTATGGCTACTTTTTCAAAGTTCTTTTTAAAAGGTTGCTTATATATTAATAATTAATGAATGCATATATACCATTTTACCTTTTTTAAATATAGCTTCGAACCCCCACATATCTGACACAGTATCAAAGAACTTCATCTTCCTTCGGATCTGTGTTTCAAAGATATAGTTGATCTGAGTGTTCCAGAGTTAAACCCCTCTCCTAATTTTTTGAGGAACTGCTTTAGGTAAAGGAGTTAAAGGATGGGGTACATAGGGGCACATGGAATAGCTGCGTTGCATCGCTACAAGTACAGTGGAGTAGATCACTCTTATGTAGCCAAATATGTGCTGCAGCCCTTCTGGAGCCGATGTGTCAATTTCTTCCCTCTCTGGATGCCGTAAGTACCCATCGTCTTTTCTATTGCAAAGATTTATGCTCTCTTTTGTTTTTGTTTTGTGTTTCTCAGTTATAGTACACTTCATTATGGACTTTAGCGTCTCAGTGTCTGCACAGTGACCTTATGCAGCACTAAAACTTTGATTAACTTACTATTTAGTGGAAGAGCTGTAAAATTGAGTGGATTAATCATTAATCTTATTTTTGTGTGTGCGCCGCTGATTCCTGTGAAAGTTAAAGATTCTGGATAGTCAACTTAAGAAAGAATCGTCTTGAGGCATGGTATGGGTAAGATAATGGCTAACAGACATTCATAGGTATTGAAGTTGTAATCGTAAAGATGCCAATTTAGTCAGTTGAAGTTTTGAAGCATGTAAGTGATTTATTAGTGGTTTAATCTTTTGTTAGAAAGACTGGCTTTTATTTTTAGTTCTTAAAATTACTTTTGAGGTTAGAACATACATAACAATTACTTGCATAATTGCCTAATGTTTTGCGTATGAAGCTTTCCTGAAACATCTCCTGTGCAATTCAATAGAACTTTTGTGTAATAGAAATGCCTTAACTAATGTGTGCTTTTTAATTTGTTTGGCAAGATTACAAGTTATTTTATGCTCATGCTTTTTAATTTCTCTATCTAATTTGTTACTTAATACTTCTCTTACTTGTTGTGCATGTGCTGGATATGCTTCAACTAGGCCCAATATGGTAAATACTCTTTAAACAATCTTGTCACGGGTTGAAATGATTTCTCATTTTTTCCATGCACCATGAGGTGCTTTTTACCTGATACAGACTTATTCCTTTTTCAGATTACACTCACCGGATTTTTGTTTTTAGTCACTTCTGCATTGCTTGGATATGTAAGTTGTACTTTCACCCCAGTTCCTACTTTGTCATTTATCCTCTCGGCATATTTGGTTTATGTATTAGTGTTTGCTACTGGCTATAAGTTGGTGTGACTTTGTGTTGGATCCTTCCTTGTTTTTGCTTTATTTTCATGGCTACTGTATCAAGTTTTCAAACTTATTTTATAGGACTAATAGACTAGATGATAAGTTCCAAACACATTAGGGTTTATTGTTGAGTGAAAAATCTGAACTTAGGGTAGATGAGAATATCAACAGGGATATTCGATAGTACTACATAGTGGTAACTGGTAAACCCTTTTTATGTTTGGAGTATACAAGTATTATACTCTTTTGAATATGTAATTACACTAGGTCTGATGTTAGCCCAATTTAATTAACCAGTAATATATAAGACCTATTGTTTTGTATGCCACCATTTTTGTGTGCGGATTGCACTCACTTATACGTAGTAATAAGTTTTTCTTCTGCACATTATGGTCTGATGACCTTTTCCCTTAAGGTAAGGTTTTGGGTTTAGAAAGAAATAGTGTATTGTTTATATGACTGCTGTATCTTCGTAAGGTGCAACAGATCATTCTTTACTTTTTCTACAATCGCTAGTAGTCACAATCCTATCCTTGATCTATATAAGGTATACTGACTACACTACATATTCTACAGATATTAGGCTACACATTTTGTCGAAGAGTTGTCTTATATTTGCCCAGAGCCATACCATTCATTTGACTATTATTATTATTATTATTATTATTATTATTATTCCATCTCTGCTAACACACCAAATGTTTTTTGCCAGATATATTCCCCAAAATTGGATTCTCCGCCTCCAAGATGGGTTCATTTTGCACATGGCTTGCTTCTCTTCCTTTACCAGGTCCAGTTATTCTCTTTGTAGGATTCGTATGAATAACATTTATGTATTTGGTTCTTATCATTTGGTGTATCAGTTCTAGTTCTGTAACCCACACATCTTTGGGATTTGACATTTGTTGTCGATAATTTGGCAACTATCTCATCACATCTATTGCAGTCGAAGTATGGCGTTTGGTTGTTCAAGACTTTAAGAGATTATTATTAGAAATCAATCCAGGCACAAATTTGTGTTGAGAATTCTTAAGTCTGGGTTCATCATTTTTGCTAGAATGAAACTCTGAGCAAGTGCCCCAATCAATTATTAATTATTATGCAAATACCGAAGAGTCATCTTTTAATGTATCAAGTAGAGTACCTCTGAGTTGGTTAACCAATCTGTTTGATACTAAAAGTGTGTCTTACTGTTGATATGTCCCAAATAAGTTTTTGGGTGTTGTTTCAATATTTTTGCTTTTCCATAAAAATTCCTTAGTGTTCACAAGTACTTATTCTGACCCTAACTTAATGCTTGTTAGACATTTGATGCCGTAGATGGGAAACAAGCTAGAAGAACAAATTCATCCAGTCCATTAGGAGAGCTTTTTGATCATGGTGATACTCACTGATATTTTTATTATCATCATTAATATTATTTTGTGTGGTTCCATTGTGGTTGCTAATTGGGGTTTCATTCCAACTCTTTGAAAAATGAAATTACTTCAACAAATAATCCAGGATGTGATGCACTTGCATGTACGGTACGTATCGTTTTCTACTCGTCATGTTTTTCCAAGGGGGAAATTCCTGAAATAGGAGTAAAAATGATTGGAAATTCCAAAACAGGGCTTCTATGTTTTTCTTTCTGAAATAGAAGTAACATGGCAGTATTTGCTGCCATCTTGTTGTCATTACCGCTAAAGTAGTTGCAGTACTAGGCATTAACATGGCAATATTTATTGTTGGCAGAATTTTTCAATCATGGCAGTAACAACTCGTATTTCGGGAAAATACATAGCAATTGGATTTTGGAATTCTAGAATGTTTTTACTCATATTTAGGGCAATTTCCCCCTTCCATGGTAAACGTGATGGTTTATAGATGTTATATGTTTGTCTTTCACAGTTTGAATCATTGGCCTTTGGTAGCACTGCTATGTGCGGACCAGCTACCTTCTGGTTTTGGTTTATCTCAGTTGTTCCATTCTACTGTGCAACCTGGGAGCAGTAAGTTTCAAGTGATTTTGATCCATTGTTTTCTCTTTATGAACACCATCTATGCTGCTTCCTCTTTAATATGCTGTTAAAAAAGACACTAATCCTTTCTTATTGCAGTTATTTCACCAATACTCTAATTCTTCCTGCTATAAATGGTCCTACCGAGGGTCTCATGCTGATATATCTTGCCCACTTTTTTACTGCTTTAGTTGGTAATTCTACTTTCCTCCTTCAAGTGGATCCTCCTACCAAGCTACCTAAGCTTCATGTCAGTTGCTTTCACAGTCTGAGCTCTATCATTTAATTAGCTTCAAATTTTCTTCAGGTGCCGAGTGGTGGGCTCAACAGTTTGGGAAGTCCTTGCCATTTTTGAGTTGGGTTCCATTTATAAATGGTGGGATATGCATATCTTGAGTGATTTGAGTCAACAGCATATTTAAGTAAATGGTGGTTCACTTTCTAGTGGTCTACTTACTCTACTGCTGTGTATATTGTCTATTATGTGTATTATTTGTACAAGTTTATTGTTCTAATTTCTGGTCGAGTGAATTTACCCTTCAGTGTTTTCCCTTTCATGCCCTCATGTCCTCTGGTTTCGAAGTAACTTCACTGTGTTATATATTGTATTCTGTAGGGAATACATATGATTGCCCTGAAATCAGTGGCCTGCTTTGACTTTTTATTGTTACATGACTTCAGAAATCTCAACAACTAGAGCTGTGCTGTTTCTGATGATAACCTTTGGTGTTATACCAACAGTATCATTCAAGTAAGTGGCTTTTCCAATGCCTCAATGTCGACTTTTTAGCCCACTTACTAAGCATTAAGAGGACTGTATTGGTGAAGTTGTGGTTGCAATGCCTGAATTTCTTAAATAACTCAGTTATGAAAAAAGTTATTAAAATACATTTTATTCATAAATTAAATTAATAAATTAATATATCTATATATGCATATACATATTTTATTCATCAACTTCCATTATTTTAGTAAAAAAGTAACTCCACTCTTAATTTTCTCGTTATGAACCAATTAAGCATGTGGAGTCAAGAAATTACTGATTGGTAAAAAATATGACTAAAAAGCCGAAAACTAAGACAACCAGACGGCAACTCTATGACCTTCAAGAATCATAAATTGATTTAAACTACTGAACTATATATGAATTACTATTATGGGACAAATGACTTCATTTGAGTGGTTTTTTTTATGGAGAAGAATGCTTCCTCTAATGCGTTTCATGTGTAGGTAACTAGTTAATAGCTCAGTAATATCTTTCACATGTTGAAACTACCTTGTCCAATTTCAGTGGTGAAATATTTAATTCAAAAATAAACAAAATAAATAAATAAAATCATTAATAATGTTTAATAGATAGTATTAAGCTTTTGCATGAGTTCATGCTGTTAACTAGTTTTATATTATTACCCCCATAAATATCATGTCACTGGCCACACTTAATTTGGAGTAAGTTTATGGTGGTGGTGGTGAACTGGTGATGATGATATTACTTAAAGAAAGAGATGAATTGAAGAAAGTTTAGCTCTAAGTTTTCTTATCAGTGCACAAAAGGATTTAAGTTTCTCGTGCTGGTCTTTGTGTGTCTTGCATTCGGGCATTCTTTTCATATGATTGAGTGGTGCCTTTGTTATCTCGATCTGCTGGTTTTGACTTTTAAACTAAACAACTATGAAATATGGCTTTGAAATATTTCATGTCCTAAACTTATATTTTAGTTTATGTACTATTGCACATAGATCAGCATGCATGCTTTTTAACTAAGACCTTTCCTCTTCAGCGTGCAAAATGTGTACAAGGTTGTCAAGGCAAGAAAGGGAAGTATGCCTGTAGCACTGGCCATGGTATGAGTGCAAATAAACTATGAATTAATGAACAAGACCCCCTTCCGCTTTTTGTGCATGTTCCATTAATTGGCCAATTGAATTAACAGCTTTATCCATTTGCTGTGCTGGTGGGTGGAGCCCTTCTCTGGTAATTTTTTCCCTCTTTCATGTTGAATAATGAACAAACTTGAATTACAACTTCAAAGTTTCTAGAGGCTATTAATCTATTACGAGAAATAGTGGAAACAAACCTGGTAGTAGGAAACCTAATAAGAATAGGAAACAAAGTACTAATAAAACTAGGGAAAAATGTCAAATTGGTCCTCGCGCTATCACGAAAAAGTCAATTAGATCCTCATTCTTTAAAAACCTCGATCAAATCCCCAATCTCTGAAAAAACGTTCAATTGAGCCAAGTGGCAGGTTACTTGCCATGTCAGTAGGCCACTCGATGACGTGTGCACATGTGGCGGTCCACGTGCACAACACGTCATATTTAAATGGCTGACTTGGCTTCCACATGTGCGCCACACCAAAGTAACTGCTGACTGGGCTGCCACTTGTGTGCCACATCAGCAGGCGACGTCAGCCAGGTGAGGAAGTGTATACCATACAGCTGGCTGTACGGTGGTGGCACCGTACAGCCGGTGGCAGTTTTGTAATTTTGATGAAGTTCGTGGTTTCTTTTAAATGAGTATTGATGTAATTTGGATGAGCATCGAGTCTGATCTTCTGAGTATTAGAAACCTAACAATGAGCATGATGATTGTTGCTTCATATCTTCTAATTGAGTTCCTATTTATTATTTTTCGTTTATAAAAATACTTAACTTATGTTTATAATTAATTTCAATTTGTGAATCTAATGTAGTATGATATGTTTGATATGTGCATCATTTTAAAATGAGCATAAAGCAGTATCAAATGAGCATACATAATTTACAAAATGAGTATCAAAAAATTCAAAAGCTCATTTGTGTATGCTCATTTATTTTAGACATTATATTTGATATGTGCATCATTTTAAAATGAGCATAAAGCAGTACCAAATGAGCATACATAATTTACAAAATGAGTATCAAGAAATTCAAAAGCTCATTTGTGTATGCTCATTGATTTTGGGCGTTATATTTGATATGTGCATCATTTTAAAATGAGCATAAAGCAGTACCCAATGAGCATACATTATTTACAAAATGAGTATCAAAAAATTCAAAAGCTCATTTTGTGTATGCTCATCGATTTTGGGCGTTATACTCATGTAAGTTTAATGTAAAACTCATTTTTAATGTGTTTAATATTCAGTTGTGTATGTTCATTTATTTGACGCGTATACTCTTCTGAATTTAATCTAAAGCTCCTTTTTTTATGTGCTTAATATTCAGTTGCGTATGTTCATTTCTTTTATGTGTATACTCATTTGAGTTTAATAAAAACTCATTTGAGATTAATAGCAGTAGGGATTCCTTCACTTGCAGTAGACTCGCTTTTTGTCTTCCAAAATCATAATCTCAAACACCAAAATTGAATAAGAAAACGAGAGAAAAAGAAAAGAGTGAAAAGAAAGACAGAGGGGAGGGAAGAGAAACAGATCTGCTGTGTCCATCTAGAGGAGAAGGGGATGAGCGAGCTGCAGCGATGAGCAACCAGACAAAGCGAAAGGCCATCTCCGTTTTGGTTTCTCCGGCGACGAAGCAACTAGACGAAGCCAGATCGAAGAAGCAGACGAGATCGGAGAAGCTGGTGCGAAGCTTGATGGGAAGCCGAAGAAGAAGCGCAGAGCAAGATCGAAGCCCGAAGAAAAAGCCCAAGAGCAAGATCGAAGCAGAAGCGCGTAGCCAAATTGCCAAAAAAGGGCCGGCTGTACCGTGAGCACGGTACAGCCGGCTGTACGATGGAATTTACCGCCAGGTGATTTGTTGACGTGGCGGGTAACCTGCTAATGGATTCAACTGAAAGTTTTTACAAAGTTCGGGGATTTAATTGATTTGTAAAAGTACGAAGACTTAATTGATGTTTTCATAATAGTACAAGGACCAAATTGACAGTTTTCCAATAAAACTATGATAACTATATTACTATCAAACTTATAATGCTACTAAAATTGTGGTTGATATATTATCACTTTAATACCCCATCTCAAGATGGAGCATGAGAGCTTGTAACACAAACTTTGAACTTTGAACTCTTCTTGAACTGCAGTAGTGCCCAGTTGAACATCCAAACTTAAACTTGAATTGAAATGTTGCAAACATGAGCTTCTGAACTTCAACTTTTTAACTGAACCGGTGTCTGAACTCTGAACTTTACTTTAACATTTACATCAGCTTAACTTTACATAGCATTAATGGGATCCAATACCAATTTCTTCTTCTTTCTCCCCTTCTTAATTTTCCTTCTTCTGCCTTTCATCATCATGGTAGCCTATCAACTCGCATGAATGATTGCCCAATAATTTTCTAGCATAAAACCAGACTTTTTTCCATTCGACATAATGTCTAATAATAATAAATTGATAATCACTGAAAAATTCAATCTTGTTGGTTTTTTTTGAAAAATTTACGATGGTCACCGGAAGGTAAAGAACCAAACTGGAAAACTTTTACCGGAAAAGTTAGCAGAAGTACTTTCACGCGCAGGAGCATGGGGGCGAGTGACTGGAGTTGTGTTGGAGAGTGGTGGAGTGTGAGGTATTGGATGGGAGCAGTCTTCATGTTGTAGAGTCCTCCAGTGATTCTAAAGGAGTGTTTGGGTTTGCTTTAAAAAAGCACTTTTCAGCTTTTGGCTTAAAAAAAGTTGAAAAGAGTGTTTTCAAATGACAGTTTCTGCTTAAATTTATCACTTAAAAGCTAAAAGCTGGAAGCAGGTAGAAGGGTGCTTTAAACTGCTTCTCACTTTTTCTATTACACAAAAAGTACTTATTTTACCAAATATTACCAACTTTTACTTTTCCAGAATCACTTTTTTCTCAAACACTACCAACTTTTACTATTAATCACTTTTCCCAAAATCACTTTAAAAAATCACTTTTTTAAAGTTGAAGCAATTGCAAACACTCCCTAAGGGCCATGGTATGGTCTCTTTTGCGAAAAGATGGGCGGATATGTTTCAGTTCCAAAAAGGGCAGTATAAATCTAGTTTTTTAGCAAACCGGCTCTGATACTGTATTGAATAATAAACCACACTTTAATTGATTTAACTTTGAAGTTCCAACATCATAATGCCTGCAGGCTATTAAATGCTTATATAGAGAAATAATGGAACTAACTTGACAGGAACAGGAATAGGAAATTTAATAGGATTTGGTAACTGCAATATCACTAACACTATAATAAGTATATTACTCCTTAAACACTTTAATTGCCTTTGATTCACTAATGTAAGTTTAATTTTTTCTTGTATCTGCTTTTTCCACATATAATGCAGGGAATATATATCTCCATCTGGTTTAATTAGGAATTACCCACATCTGTTCATTGTGGGAACTGGGCTTGCATTTGGGTTTCTTGTGGTAATTTTTTGCTCATGCTCGTGCTCCTTGGACTTCTGTAATCTGGCTGTGTGAATTTACTCAGAAAGTAGACTGGAGTTGTTATATATGAATTGAGACTTGAGAGTGGCAAGTGTGAAAACTCTCGATTAGGTTATGTTTGTTAGGAAAGTAACTTGTGAAAAATGTTTTCCATTGAAAGTATTCTAATGAAATATGTTTTACATGGAATTGAGAACAATAATTTGCTCTATATAAAATATAAATATGATGTGCTACAGGAATGGGAAATCATTCTTTACAGAACTAAAGAATCAACGGAAATATTTTTATGTGCCAAATAGCCCCCCAGGAATTTTGCTTAAGTATGGCAATGCACGAGGGCTTGCATATATCTGGTGCCAAAACATTCTCTGGTGTTAAAAAGAAGTTATATATATAAACCTAAAACATGAAGTAATGTTCTAAAAATAGAGAGGACTTGCATATATAAATTTTAGTAAAACAATACATGTGTGTGTACTGTGTACTGATTGCACTGAATACATGTTCCATGTTAGTGCTACTTCCTGTTTCTGTTGAATTTCAAGCTCTGCTCTATACTTCCAATTCTGTGTTTGTGAAGAGAGTTTTGTTTTGCAGGGAAGGATGATTGTATCACACTTGTGTGATGAACCCAAGGGTCTGAAAACTAGCATGTGCATGGTATGTGTAGTTTTCTTTTTACTCCCTACTGTGACCTAAATATTGAATCTTTCGTTCTGAATTTAATATGTTGATCTGAAATCAATTCGTATTTAGACGTTTTTGACGAGGAAGTTTGTCATTCTCTGATCAATCGTTATGATTATTCTGATCAAAACTCCAGTTTTTTCAAGTTTTTGTATCAACATGGAGTTTACTGATGATTAGACGTTTTTTACTGAGTTCAATTGAAATGTAATATTGTTAGTTTAGAACATTCAGGTCAGATATAGAGATGTGGTGGTGAAGGGGGGTGGGGAGGTAGTGGTGTCAGTGGCAATAGCTCACCCTCCCTGATTTTGTTCAGTATGTGCAAGCATTTTCATGTACTCTCTTCACACCATAAAAGTTCTGGTTTTAAAAGCCATTTTTTGACCTAAAAAAGATTCATGTTCGTCAAAAGGAACTAGTTATTCATGTGATTACATAATTTTTTAGAGTTGTACTTTGCCTAATTTTAAAAGTTACACCTTCACCAAATTGATTTTTTTGATGAGATGGGAGCATAGTTCTAATAAAATTAAATTGTCGCACCACACAATGCAAATTCTTGGGCTCAGATTGGACATGTCTGGTTGAAGATTCTTTCTTCCTTCTGCTTATGTTGATGACTGAATGAAAATGATTTGAATTTCTCAATTGAAATTTGTGTCAGATTCTTATGTGAACTATAATCTTGTCAACATTTCTTTTTAATTGCAGTCTTTGCTATATCTTCCTTTTGCCATAGCTAATGCGCTCACTGCCAGACTTAATGATGGGTATAACATGGATCCCAATGCCAATTTAATTCCCCGTTTATCGTATTGAGTGTTTTGTTATACTGTTTTAAATATGATAATCTTGTGCTTTTATTTGTGGCAGGATTCCTTTGATTGATGAAATCTGGATTCTTCTTGGATTTTGTGTGTACTCAGGTACCTCATTTTTTATTTATAAGACCATGATCTTGTTTTAATGGGCAGTGCATGAATACCTTGGTTTGCTGTGGTTTATTTCTATGGTGCTGACACATAAAAAGGGTATTTACTACTAAGCTCACCCCACTTAAAGGGAAAACATTGTTTTGTATGGCTCAGGGTGTATGAATGACACACATTGAACAATTAGATAACTGAACTACTGAAGTAATCTTAAGGTTGCTATTGCTGCAGCGTGATTGATGCGGGATCTCAGTATCTCACACAAGCTGCTTCGAATACCCTCCCATGTTAGAATCCCCTAGTCTCTCATGAATTCAAGAGAGAAATTACCTGAAGACCATTCGAGCGACCTGCTTCTCAGACCAATAGGGCTGCTTCGAGTACCCTCCCATGTTAGAATCCCCTAGTCTCTCATGAATTCAAGAGAGAAAATACCTGAAGACCATTCGAGCGACCTGCTTCTCAGACCAATAGGGTGTTTCAACTAGGGCCAGATCATGCTAGGTTATCCCAGGAATGAACAAGGCTTCATTTGGTTGTAGTTTTGCATATCTAGAATACTCTTGAATCTTGATAGACACCCAATTAAGAGCAATGAAGTTTTCTTTATTAATATGGATGAAATTGTGAAGAAATAAAGTGATTCAATTGGTATATATGGTTGATCTAGGATCTGCCTTTAGTAAAGTTCGAAAACAAGCTGGGAATTGGTTAGTAGATTTCAAATTGCTGTGAAATTGACTACTTGCCTGTAAATTAGAAGTTACGAAATAAATAAACAATAACACATGAAATAACTAATGCAAATAGTAAGGGCCTGTTTACTGAGAGATATTTTCCAGTTTTCCAGAAAACTGGAAAACGAAAAACAGAAAACATGTTTACTGAATGCACAGGAAGTACTTTAGTTTGGGCTTGCAAACCTTTGTGTTCACTATAACTCTTCAGTTTCAACTTTCACGACTCTTTGTCCAACCTAACTCTATTTTGCTTCATAATTTTCAGTGTCACTATATATGCACTTTGCTACATCTGTTGTTCATGAAATAACAACAGCTCTTGGAATCTACTGTTTCAGGTGAGAGATTTTTGCTATATCGTTCTTCAACTATTTTAGTTTTTTCAAACATTAGTTATTCTTGTTTGAGCTAAGTATATAATTGTGACTTGTGAGTAGTGAACACTTGGCATTATAGGAATAGGCTAAAGGGTCAAATAGGCCCTTGAACTGAATTAAAGTGTTCAATTAGCCCCTTATATAGCAGGTTCTGCCCGGCCGTCACTAATTGAGGCGGTTTCTGATGGAATTGTTTGATGAATTTTTTTGAACATCTTCATTAAGTCTAGTTTACCCATACCAAATTTCAGCTAAAATTTCAACCGGGAAGGCAGTCAAATGATTTTTTGAAGATAACTGCGAAGTTAAACATCGCAGTACATTTCGTAAAATCATTTGTCTGCCTTCCCGGTTGAATTTTTAGCTGAAATTTGGTATATGGGTAAACTAGACTTAATGAAGAAGATGCTCGAAAAATTTCATCAAACAATTCCACCGGGAACCGCCCCAATTAGCGACGGCCGGGCAGAACCTCCTATATAAGGGGCTTATTGAACACTTTAAGTCAGTTCAAGGGCCTATTTGACCCTTTAGCCATACGAATATAAACCCAAGTCTCCTTATTCCCAACACTTGACTTTCATATTATCACTTCTTGGTCAGTTTAGGCTCTGTATGTTTACTGGAGGAATTTTTTGTCCACAAAAATGTTTTCTGATGTACCCATGTTTGGTGCTGAAAAATGTTCTGGAGAATGATTCTTTTGACTTCCTTTGAAATGACTTCCCGCTTTAACAATAACTAGTCATTTTTCTGAAACATTTTTATGCATCAAAATTACAGAGTATATATAATACTTGAAGCAACTTGTTTTCTTGGAAAATATTTTCCGCAAGCAATTTTCCTTTAAACAAAAATTGTTATAAATCAATGTCATGCAGTTGGGCTAATGAGTACATTGTAACAGTCGAAGAATTTTAGGTTTCATGAAGTTTACTGGATTTTGTGCTAGAAAAATGTGTTGCTATGCTGATGCTTCGTCTATTCATGACAGGATAACGAGAAAGGAGGCTTGAATCAATTTTTATCTTTCTGATGCTTCCTCCTCTGTAGTGCGTATGATCAGGTCGTTATTATGTTTAACAAGCTGAACCCATGGCCTTGCTTTCATGCTGAATCTGGAATTGCCCATTAAGGAATCATGGCATGACTTTGAAGCTAGGGTGCCTTTATTCAGTCCGTGAGCCCTAAATGGACGCGGCTGTAATTTTATTTACTCCTAGTGTTGTCGGCGAATTTAAGTAGGTGCTTAGTTCAATTTTTGGCAGTACCCTAATGCGAATTAAAAAGGCTTTCTTCTACTAACGTTTTCTTCTTTACTTAATGATATGCGTGCAAATTGGAGTATACTTGTTAAGATTATATGGCATGGTTTCCAGGCTCTAGCTCGCTAGGTACCTTATTCGTTTGTGTTTTTCTGTTTTTGTTACCAAAAACAAGATTATGAAAGCTATTAAAAAGTTATTCTTGAAATAATTTATGCCTTTGAGAGAACTTTTGAAATAGGTGAATCACTTTTTTTTAATCTCTAGTAAGTAGTAACTTTGTGAACATCCTTATAATTTTTTTCTCTCATAACTTTGAGTCTACTTCAAACCTTGAAAAAAGTAAATTTGAGTCATTCAAATTATCTGTTAGGTTTCAAACGTCATCAGGATAAAACCAATTGCTCATAACTGATTGATTGCCCGCATCCTCAGATTCCCGTCACAGATCACAGCTCACAAGGAACAATGATTTATTGATCAAACACCACTAATTTTCCAGCAAGAAGATGAACTGTCGATTGTGTGATAATGTGATTGCTCAAGGCCTCAAGCTAACTCTGAAAACTAGGCCTGGCCTCGGGCCGGTTCGGGCCCGGTTCGGGCCTGGGCCCGGCCGGGCCTCGGTTCGGAAATGTAAGGCCCGGGCCCGGCCCGCCTGTCAGCGGGTGCCGGTTCGGGCCGGGTGACCCGGCCGGGCCCCGGGTCGGGTGAACCGGCGGGTCGGGTCGGGCCTAGAATTTTTTTTTTTTTTTTTTTTTTAACTTATATTCTTATACATCTACTTGGAATCTTGAATATTAAAATTATTTAAAAACAATCTTGAAGTACATTTATGTGAAATAAGTAATAAGTACATTTTGAGAATTGAGAACAATTAATTCTAATACATTTTCTATTAAGTAATAATAATATAATATAATTAAAAAATGCGACATATAAAAAAATTTAATTTTTATTGATTTGAAATATGAACTACAAATCTACAAGTTCACAAATTACAATAGAGAATTGAGGATAAAATAAGAAATTGTAAAATACTAATCAATCGGAATCTCCGGCATAGGTAGAACCACCATCGGTTGATTCATCCATAAAGTCTTGGGAGGGGATGAGACTAAGTTCTTGAGTTCTACGTCTTGCCTTCAACCAATCGTGGTAGCATATAAGTGTCTCAAGAGATTCGGCACTCAAACACGTTCTCGATTTAGTTAGGACGTTGCCGGCCGAACTAAATTCTTGTTCCACGGCAACTGTTGAAACCGGCATTGATAGTACTTGCTTAGCCATCCGTGCCAAAATCGGGAACGTTCTTTCTTTTGACTTCCACCACTTTAGGACGTCAAAATCTTCATTTTCTACAAACTCAACCTCATAGTTAATATACAAAGCAATCTCATTAATTGTGCTTTGTTCAGTAGTGTGCGTTGTTTTAGCTTTTTTCATAAGATTGCCAAATGCAGATTTAAAAAGACCTTTTCCTTTAGATGAAGATGTTTGGGTTGGGGGAGGGGGCATGTTGCCATATTGTGCACGAAACTCATTAAATAAAGAATAAAATAAACTACTAACCTCGTTGTATTCAGATTGCGGATCTATAGGGTTATCTTCATACATTGGAAAATCACCATAAAAAGATTGATAATAGAACTTGTAACATTGTTCCAAATTACTAAGTCGATAACGAGGATCGAGAATAAAAGCAATACCATAAATATGTGGAATATGTGAATAATATTTTAAAAACTTTTCCTTCATAAAAGTACAAAAATAGCTCACATAATCGGCATTTTGAAATTCATTAAAAGCACCGGCGAGATTAACAAGTTCACGCATAAATTCGTTTGAAGTAGGTTTATAAACATGACTAAAACTTTCAGTTGCATTATTAAAAAATATCAAAACATTACAAATTTTTCCGCAAGTGTCGATGTGAGCAGAGTTTAAAATGTAGTTATCATATTCTTTTAAAAAAGCAGGAAAATGTTCTTTATATCTAATAAGAACTCTAATTAATTTATAAGAACTATTCCACCGAATAGACAAATCTTTAGGAAAAGCAACATATTTCACATTTCTTTCATTCAAATAATTTTTCCATTTTAATTTAAGTTGACCATTAGCCCAAATACGTCTAATCCCCCCCTTCGCTACCTCCATAGCATCTCCCAACGCTTTTAGACCATCCTGCACACATAAATTTATTATATGGCATGCACATCGTTGATGAAAAAATCTACCCATCAAAGTAGTAGCACCACACAATTCACGCAATCTAGGTATAGCAGCAGTATTATTAGTAGCATTATCAAAACCTATAGCAAACACCTTATTAACCAAATTATACTCAATTAAAATGCGCTCAATCAAAATATAAATATGTTCAGCGGTGTGACGATCATTAAATTCACGAAGAGCAAGAACACGTTTATGCATATTCCAATCATCATCAACATAATGTGCAGTCAAACCCAAATAATGTAAATTATGATAGGTGTCCTCCCATATGTCAGAACAAACAGTAACACGTCCATCATAGTTTGCAAAAAAATTTTGTAAGTTCAACTTTTCCGCCTTATAAAGCCTTATAATTTCTTTTTTAACCGTTTTTCGACTAAAACTTCGAAATTGAGGATTTAAACAAGTTTGTGCATACTCTTTAAAAGAAACACTTTCAGAAAACAAATAAGGTAAATTTTCTTCAACTATAAAGTTAGCCATACCAGTCAAATTTTGTTGATCATTGTATGAGAAATTACCATAAGGTTGGTTGTTTGCAAACCTCGATATTTGTGTTTGCTTCCCCTTGCCTTTCTCAATTTTTGCGTACTCCACCTTGTGCTTGCCCATAAGATGCCTTTTGAGGCTCCCGTATCCGCCTGAAGTTCCCAAACTGTACACCTTATCGCAATGGTTGCAACTTGCGTACCATTTCTCGGTGCTTGGGTCTTTATACTTTTTAAAATTATTTTCTATAATAGGAGATTTAGATTTCGTACCTATTTGGGATGAACCACCCTCGTCACCCTCGTGGTCCGCCGCTTGCTCCTCATCCGGGGTGCCGTGACTCCCGGCCCCCCCGCGTCCTCCTCCGGATCGTCATCCTCGAGCTCTTCTTCGTCAATGGTGTGAATATCGTCCGGGAGGACCGGGATGTCTCGTTGATGGAAAAATTGAGGATTTTGAGCCAATAGTTGTTGTAGTTGCTCGTCGGACATTCTTTCGCCATCTCGCCGTTGGTATTCCGGTTCGTCCTCCCATCCACTTTGAGAAGAAGATCCGGACTGCCCGCTTTTTTTGCGCAAACTAGGATGAGTTCTCGCAATCTCCTTCTTTCGGTTGCGTTGGAGATTTCCGATATCCAAAGAATGTCTACCGCGCTCCATCTTAACAAATATAAAAGTATATCAAATATTTTAATATGTATAAATTTACTAGGTGTACACTTAAATGACAAATGCAACAATTTAACTAGTCTTATTACTTTTATACTTTAATTAAAATGTCTAAATTTACCACTTGTACACTTTAATGAATAATGCAACAAATTAACTAGTTTTATACTTTAATTAAAATGTCTAAATTTACTAGGTGTACACTTTAATGAATAATGCAACAAATTAACTAGTTTTATACTTTAATTAAAATGTCTAAATTTACTAGGTGTACACTTTAATGAATAATGCAATAAATTAACTAGTTTTATACTTTAATTAAAATGTCTAAATTTACTAGGTGTACACTTCAATGACAAATGCAACAAACTAACTAGTTTTATACTTTAATTAAAATGTCTAAATTTACCACTTGTACACTTTAATGAATAATGCAACAAATTAACTAGTTTTATACTTTAATTAAAATGTCTAAATTTACTAGGTGTACACTTTAATGAATAATGCAACAAATTAACTATATTTATACTTTAATTAAAATGTCTAAATTTACTAGGTGTACACTTTAATGAATAATGCAACAAATTAACTAGTTTTATACTTTAATTAAAATGTCTAAATTTACTAGGTGTACACTTTAATGAATAATGCAACAAATTAACTAGTTTTATACTTTAATTAAAATGTCTAAATTTACTAGGTGTACACTTTAATGAATAATGCAATAAATTAACTAGTTTTATACTTTAATTAAAATGTCTAAATTTACTAGGTGTACACTTCAATGACAAATGCAACAAACTAACTAGTTTTATACTTTAATTAAAATGTCTAAATTTACCACTTGTACACTTTAATGAATAATGCAACAAATTAACTAGTTTTATACTTTAATTAAAATGTCTAAATTTACTAGGTGTACACTTTAATGAATAATGCAACAAATTAACTAGTTTTATACTTTAATTAAAATGTCTAAATTTACTAGGTGTACACTTTAATGAATAATGCAACAAATTAACTAGTTTTATACTTTAATTAAAATGTCTAAATTTACCACTTGTACACTTTAATGAATAATGCAACAAACTAACTAGTTTTATACTTTAATTAAAATGTTTAAATTTACCACTTGTACACTTTAATGAATAATGCAACAAATTAACTACTTGAATATAACGCCATTAATGGATAAAAGAAGAGAAGAGTACCTTGGTGGATTGGCCGATTGGTTGATGATGAATAAATATTAACTAAGTAGACAATAAATATATATTAACTATTAAGTAGATAATAAATGTATAAGTAGATATAATAAATTAATAATAAGTAGAGATTAAGTAGATAAGGAATATAAGTTATATAATATATAATATATATATATATATGTAAAGTAGCTAATTATAAGATAATAAATATATATTAAGTAGATAATAAATATTAGTAATGTAATATATGTATATATAAGTAGATAATAAATATATAAGTAGATATAATAATATTTATATAAATAATATATATGTAGAGATAAATTGGAGAAGAATAGAAGATGAAGATGGAGATGAATGAAGATTTTAGAGATTGAGAGAATAGAGAATTAGAGAGTAGAGAAGGTGTAAAAAATGTATAGAAAATAGGAGTATAAATAGGTTTTTTTTTCTCCCCCCACCCCCAACCCCCCCCCCACCCCCCCACCCCCCACCCCCACCCCTCTCCAACGGCTATAGAGCCGTTTGGAGCCTCCCCAACGGCTACAAAGGCCAAAAAAAATTGATTTTTTTTTTTTTTTTTTTTTAAAAATTAAGCCGTTAGGCCCGGACCGGGCCCGGCCCGGCCGGGCCGGTTCAAGAAATTAGAGGCCCGAGCCCGGACCGCCCTGCACCCGGGCCGGGTAGGCCCGAACCGCCTAGGGCCCGGTTGACCGGGTCGGGCCGGTTTGAACAGTGAGCGGGCCGGGTCGGGCCCGGTTCGGTCCGCCCGGCCCGAGTCCAGCCCTACTGAAAACTAACAAGTTTCCCGAATTTACTTATTTATGGCTCCTACCCAAGACATTTAACAAGTTTAAATGTGAAAATTGGCCCAATTTAATCACTCAATTGTCCAGTATAATATTCTCTTAAAGTACGCTGACACTTCATATTGTTGTTGTGGTCTCTTGGAGAGTTGGAGGTAGGCCTGGACTCGGGCCGGTTCGGGCCCGGTTCGGGCCTGGGCCCGGCCGGGCCTCGGGCCAGGAAATGGGAGGCCCGGGCCCGAACCGCCGGTGGCCGGTTCCGGTCCCGGTTCCGGGCCAAACCGGGCCGGGCCGGGCCGAACCGGCCCACTTAATTTTTTTTTTGTTCTCCTATTTAATCCCTTACCCCTCCCCCTCAACCCCAAACCACCTCAAATGGCCCAAAATACCTATTCCAACCCAAAACTTTAAAAAAATTTCAAAAAAAAAAAAAAAAAATTAAAATCCGGCCCGGACCGGGCCCGAACCGGCCGGGCCGGTTCACCATTTGGAAGGCCCGGGCCCGGAACCGGGAACCACCGGGCCGGTTCGACCCGAACCGCCGGTGGACCGGGCCACCGGGCCGGGCCGGTTGCTACAGTGGCCGGGCCGGGCCGGTTCCGGGTCGGGCCGCCCGGCCCGAGTCCAGGCCTAGTTGGAGGTCTACCATTAATCAATATTTACAGAAAGAGAGAAGAATTAAAAATTACAATATAACTCAGACTATTATTTATTATTGCACATTTGCACTCCTCGATATGTATTGGAGTGATTTTAGTGCAGATTAATTGAATAAAAGTAAATTGCTAACTAGATAAACTCTTAATAAACACACTCCGTTTGTGATATGTGGTAACTGAAGTTAAATCGAAGCATATTTGAGTACATCTTGAGCCCCTAAACATAAGATGATAACCAACACGTATGTGATTGGTGTGAGCATTTGTCTGTAAAAAAGGTGTGAGCTTTTGAGTCTATTTTTTGCTGCCACCCTCTCACCACTCCAGTTTTTTAGCTCTCATTTGTTTAATTTTTTATTTGAAAACAAATAAGAAATTTATAATGGACATTTAAGTTATTTCTTTCATGTATGCTTACCAAAACATGTGTGTGTACTACCTCCTTATTCTAATGTTTATTACATTAGGTCTGCACTAAGTTTAAGGGTGAAATACTACATGTAGTTAATTGTATAAAAAAGGCGTAAAAAGTATGAGAAAATCATGAAATCGCATGAAATATAATATGGAAACGTGGAAAAAATAAGAGTAATTAAGTATTTTTATATAAAAAATTTATCAAAAAAAGTTATAAATCTTAAAAACTTATAATAGCCAATGAGGGTGAGCTCTTAATAAAAACTTATAATAGACAAAGAGGGTGAGGACTTTTAAGGTATGGAAAAAATGTTGGTGTAATCATCGGCTTATACAATGCGTTTTATCATTTGTACTCTCTTAAGTTCCCGTTTAATTTCCGTCACCCATCCGTTCCGTCTGCTTCTATCATCCTCGCTTGTAATCTTGTAT